TAAAATATGGGCCACAAATGTTGTCCCTGTCGTGACCCACTGGCACGTCTCCTGGCATTGTGATTCTCTGGACTGTCTCCTGTCAGGATTTATTTGATCTTTATGGCACCTCTCACAGTTTATATACTGTAGCCTAAGATAAAGCAGCAGCAGAGGAGCTTTTGAAGTACATAGTAGAACTTATCCTGGTTCTAACATAAGTGGATAAATGAAATGCATACATCCCTGAATTAAATAAGATTGCACCACAAAGACTAGCTGTTGCGTCCCAGACCCAGTTGCAACAGTAACTGCCAGGTGCAGCTGTTGCATAGCTAAAAGAAACACTAAGAGACACAAAGAGTCAGAGAGTTAATATTGAATATTGTTGATACAGTGCTGTTTAAAAATGATGTAAACTGGGAGGATTTTAAATTACATTTCACAAAAAACACGCAATTACAAAACCTTGGGTTGGTGCTGGGTTAGCATATCCCGATATTTCCCACCCATGCTAATCTGCACAAATAACTATTAGACATTTCTGAATGGATCGCAACAGCGGTGCCAGCCGTATAAATGTGAAAGTCTATGGCTAAGTGATTGAGTAATGAATTTACACTGTTGATTGGCTGAATGCTGACACTTTCTGTATCCATAACAAATTAAAAGCCTTCGTTTTAAATTAAATGCCCTCTCGTGTTTTATACATGTTCCAGTCGTACAAAAGGTTTTGACTTAGACTTGTGAAACGTAGTTTTTATTATTTATTATTCACTTTTGAAACTAGACTGTAGTCTAAGAACTTGTATGACTTTGCAAATAGTTGGTATGGGCCAATCTTGTATTCTATAGTCAAAATTTTATTTAACAGGACTCTCCCACCTCTCATGTTTGCTGTTTTCGGTATGCATGCTGTTTTTTGAAATGCAGTGTTCTTTCTGGATGTTCTACAAGCCTTTGACTCTTGCCATTTAATGTAACCCCATTGATCTAGCTGAAAGCCAAGCAAATCCAAAGCCCTCTGTCGCCGCTCTGTTACACAGAGTCTTTTTAGTCTTAATCTCACCAATAGGCAAACAGCCACCCATAAGCGGACTGAATTTCACTGCTCTTAAACCATGCAAAACTGTAAATTCATTCCACTATTTTTTACTGTAAAGCTGGCGCTGTCATATTTTTTACCTGCTGTTGTTTCTCCCCTGTCCTCCGTAAAAACCTCCAGCCTCTGGGGAATTATCTTATGTCCATAGGCTGGCGCAATGTACTCTCCCAAGGGAAGTCAGCACCTGCTGTCAGTATATCAGTAAGGCAGAGATAGAGACAAGGCTGGGGACACAGGTGAAGAAGGTATTCATACATTAAGCTGCTGTTTTTCACCTCCTCACACACTGACAGGTCTGCTTTTATCTGTCAAGGTTCAAGGCGAGCGCGAAGCTGCTTTATGGTGCTTTGCACTTAAAACTACCCGGCCCCCTCCTGCTGCCGTCCTCTACACCCCCCGTCCTCTCCTCACACACATGCTTACACACCCACAACCATTCCACCATACCTCCCTGCTTTTCCTCCTTCTCCTTCTCCTTTCTGGAGCTAACCTTTGTTACTCCATGCATAATTCTTTTGGGGTGGCTGCTTTTTGTCTTCCCTCCTAGTGTGAGAGAGCGCTCCCTTTCTTCTCTTTGACTCCTCTGCGTCCAGAGAGACAGTCCCCAGAGCTTTCTTTATTTTTCTTACCAGCGCAGATATAAGTGGTAAGAGGAGAGTGTCTGTGCATGTTCGGGGTTGTGTGGAGTCTTCAGCTTTTTGTGTGAGTGTCTGCATGAATTTCATGAACACATCAACACAACCTCACATTTGTGAGATTAGATGAATGAGAGTCCAGGATTTTTTTTTATGCGTTTTTTGTCTTTACGTGCATAAGTAAATAAATAAATGTTTTTTGTGGAGAATGTTTTGTCAACAGGGCTTTAAGTCACACGGCATGTGTGCGCTTGTTCATTGTTGTGGAGAGGATATGCGTGGGCGCACTGCCGCTGCGGCGGCGCATTTCTCCGTGTTTGCCTGTTCGACAGGAGGGTTATCGAGAGAAAAAGAAGACAGACAGCAAGCAAGCAGGTGAATCGTAATTAAAATTTTCAGTCTCGTTAAGTTGGTGACAGCTTGCAATCGATGGCGAGGATCTGCCTCCAATACTAACGAGCCAAAAGACCATTTGAATTTGAGGTGAAATGGGACCAGTAAGGGGAAATTAATTAAGATATTTATGTCCCCAATTAATCAGGTCACTGAGAAACTTGCTGTAGGTGAACAGAACTTACAAAGAAATACAGTATAGTAGGAATCACATGGTATTAAACTCTATGAGAATATACCTAAACTATACTTCTAAAACTCTAATTAGGAAGTGAGAGCTCCCTGGAGCTACCAACTGTATCACCATATTATCTCTATTTACTCTAGTAGAAATCATGGTACCGTATGCAAAGGCTACAGGTGAAATCCACATCCTGATCCTCGTTGGTTCCACAAGGATGAAAACAACAATTTCGCTGTATTACATTATATAAAGCTCTAATGAGGAAATATGAGCTCCCCTGTGCTTCAAACCAGAACACCCAATTATCTTCACTTACTGCTGTACAGGCCGATGCACCCAGGGTAATGGCATAACAATAGCTCTCCCAAAAAGTGCCCAGCACAATGTGATAGGCTGTGGCCCGGATCAATACATTACAGAAGTGCTGTGAGTGAAATTTCGCCCCTGAAAATTGTATAAAATGTAAAAAGAATTGAAGAATAAAAGTGGTTGTAGTCCTACTTCGGTGCTTCAAAGAAAACCTCCCATTGACAAACCATCCCACACAAAAATGTCATAAATTTGTGTTCAGGTGGCGAAAGTGCTATGTTGATATTCTGCACTGCATCCTGCCACCTGCCCCAGGCTTGTTAACAAGGTGCCTGCAGCAATGATTGCCTGGCCATCAAACTCCCAGCTGATAAGTTCCTGTGGGAGAGAGAGGAGCTCTGTCATTGAATTCACCCTGATCGCCTCCTCATGCTGTACATTCGAGATAACACACAGCCAAACCCGGCCTCACATCCTTTATAATGGCCTATGTGACGTTTGTATATAACTTATTCTGTAAAATCTGTTCAACATTTTGCCACTATAGTCTCATCTAACTACTGGATATATCCTGTTTGCTGCATTTTATGATTTGATGACTTGATTTATATGCACAGTTATGGTGTCGTAGCCTGTCGTCAAGATGGTAGCCAGCGAGACACCTGTCACTTCCAATGTAGCAAGGCCGAAGAAGGGGATTGGCTGATTGATTGAAGCCTCAGAGTGCACAGAGGGTGAGGGACGCAGTGACAGGCCTGTGATTGACACAGATGAGAGAGAGGAAACGAGGATAGGAGCGAACAGCAGATAGGACAGGATACTAAAACAATAGCGATTTAAAGAGAAGGGATAGAGGGAGATTTAGGAAGATAGATAGGCAGAGGAAGAGACAGGTGGTGAGTGGGAGAGGTGGGAAGAGAGAATGCAGAGTAGGGGGAGGGTGGATAATCTTTTTTTTCCTTTACTGTTCATCAAAAGGGTCTGCTTAGAAAAAGAGATACTGAGAGAGAGGTAGCTGAGGACGTTGAGGAGAAGATGAGAGAGAGGAAGAGGGTGAAAAGTATTCCAGGAGGAACCTCCCAACTTTAGTCATGCCCCAGTGAATGTGCTGACAGGGTCTGTCTGCGCCACAGCGAAGCAAGTGTCATACACCCAGACAAACCACACCACGCTGCACAGGACAAGATGAAACTGCCACTACTTAACCCATAACACATAGGTTTCAGAAAATATACAAATATTAAATTCAGTTTTTACAGAGTTTGCTAGATTTGTCCATGGGATGCCATTAAAAGGGAGACTCCACAGTTTTACCCATCATTTATCGACCTGTAAAAATGAATGTATGCTGTGCTTCTGTGGCTCTGAAGGAAGCTTTGTGAAGTCTGAGAAAATTACCTTGATGATGTCAATAAAAGAAGGATTTGTGTAGGATTTAGTCATTTTGGAGGCTTGACCCACAATAGTACCATTTAAGTTGGATATATCAGTCTCTGCTGCTTTGATTTTGACCATTCTTTTTCAAAATCTGCCTCTAGTGAGTCCTCAAACATTATGGAAGTGCAATGCCAAATTGCTGGACTGCCCCTTTAAAAAGGAGTTTTCTGAATTACCCATGCACATGTCTGTCTTTTTCTACACACAGTAAAAATAAAAAGGTTTTTATGTTAATGCAATCTGGCAAATAGTCACATTATTGACTTGTCAGATGCGTGGGCTGATGTTACTGAAATACTAGTACTGTGTGCCCGCTTATCTTAAAACAAGCACACTGATTGATATCTGACATTTTGATTTGGCGTAGGATTTCCATCTGAGGCTTGAGTGCATGAGAGACAAGCTGAGAGCGTGAGTCAGAAGCACAAGAGTCAAGGAACCTTTTACATAGCTCAAGGCGCTGTGTACAACAAAGAGCATCTGCATCTACGGCTTGCATCTGTATTGACATTCTAACCGACTGATCAAAGCACAATATTAATTCAGCTAATTAATCGCGCATCAAAGTGATATGAAGTTAGTTTCATATCATAGTTGGTCCCTTTTTGCACTGCAGTCAGAAATCCTTGACAGCCGTTCCCATTACTAAATGCTCAGAGCCTTTTCTAATATTGTTATCCTATCTTTCCCCATGTAGAATTGTATGATGATAACTTTGTCCCCGTCTATCTAATAGATGTGAGAAAAAACACTTGGGTCATTATGAAGGTATAAATGGATGTGTGTTCTGAGCCTACAAAGCCCTCTGTGCCTGTGAAAATGTGATTGCTGCTCTGTTAAAAGGTCTGTCCTTCCTGCTTGTCTGTGAGTTCTCCTACCTGTCTATGCCGCTCCACTTTTAATTAACGCAGTGCAATGATTAAAGTTTTAACTTAATTATCTTTATCTTTTCTCTCAGGGTGTTCAACCCTCCGTGGGAAACTGAATGAGACGCTTCACAAGGGGAGTGGGAGAAAACCAGCAGAGAGCAGCTTGCTGAGATAGAGGAAGATATTAGGCAGCGTGAAAAAAAAGGGAGAAGGAGTGACTGACACCTGCCCTCCAGCTCAGTGTGAAGGGCACAGAATGCGAGAGTGAGAGGAGGGGTGTGAGAAGAGGGAAAACAGAAGAGAGAATGAAGACAACCGGAAAACAAGGCCTGCCTCACAGCAAACCTCGCTCAAATTAGGACGTCTCACCACAAGACAAGATGATTACAAGAAATCTGCTCCTATTGGTTTCCCTGTGCCTGTGGGAGGGGCTCGCGGGAGGCGCCTTGGCCAGTAAAATTGTCCGGAGGAGAGGAGTGGGCGGATCGCACATGGTGAAGCTAGGGGAGAGCAGAACTGCGGACCAATGGGATGCAAGCGTTGATGCAAATGCTATGCCCGTGGTGACTCTTAGAAACCTGATTAGTCATGAACAGGCGGGTGACACTGGATCTTTCTCTTATTCCAAAATATTGCAGAATCATGCTGCTCCCTTGGTAGCTAACAAGGACAGGCAAGCTTTCAAGCCCAAGCGTGAGGTCGACTCTGTCAATAAAAAAGAAGTGACACCGCACATGTTAGCCAATAACAAGGAGTTAAACCAGGATGTGAAGAAAATTAAGAACAACACCAAAAATGCTGAGACTTCTACCAAAACAGGAAGGTCAGAAAAAACATTCACAATCCATCATAAACCAGATCTACACACCAATAAAACCAGGTTTAAATCAGGCTCTAGATCCAGGAACAGACCTGATCTAAGTGTGCATACTACAGGTGTGCCAGGAAAAGGATTCAGCATAGATTCAAACCGAAAACTGAACCTCACTGGCAGTTACGGGGTTCTGAAACTGCTGTCGAAAGAGAACCTCGTCAGGATCGTCAATTCCCAAATGCAGAGTGTTCCCAGCCTGAGCTTTCCGAGCAAGGGCAGCCGGAGCAGGAAGAGAGATTTGATTGACGTTAATCATGGACAGTTAGAGGCTCAGAAAGTGCAGAGACAAGATATAGCTGTCACTCAGTTTCACACTGGATTTGATAATCAGACGGCATCACCTTATGTAAGCCCAGTCACCACCCCAGATCTTAATCGAGACCAAGGTGCCAACACTCATATTAATCTGCTAAGTGAAGTCAACCCAGCTTTAAGTAAAGGCCAGGGCAACTTGGGAATACAGGGTATAGATAGTGGCGATAGGAAGAGCAAACACCTGGCCCGTTTGCTGTCAACACCTCGCAGCGAGGTCAGTCTCAGTCCTGAGAAGGAAGTAATAATCAGCCAAACACAACCACCATTTACATCGACAAAACATTTCCCACTGTATGTACCCTCTGAAACAAATGATTCTCCACCGTCTGTGCTGACAATGCAACCCCTGGGAGTAAGACCGGGGAACAGAGCAGCAGATTCCCATAGAGACCCATTAACAGAGTCGGTTCACACTGCTCAAACAGAACTCAGCACAGCTCAGTACCCTGCAGATGAAGACAACCAACTTGTCAACAGCAGTCATGTCCTGAGGCTCCACCCGGCTCCCGAATGGAGCCATGATACAAAAGATGCTGGGATGCAATCTGTCGATCCAGAAAATGGGGAGGGCCTTGTGTTTGAAGAAGCAGAGTCAGAGGTAGAAGAGGAAATGCATGAGCAAATGGTGAGGAAGGGGCCACGTTCTCGCAGCAGGAGGAGCTGGATCTGGAACCAGTTCTTTGTGATCGAAGAATACGCCGGGCCTGAACCTGTGCTCATCGGACGGGTAAGTGCAAAGAAAAACTTCATCCATCATTCACAAGGGCTGTGAACTATTTTATGAATGTTTTATGAATATTTAAGACAAGTCTGTTACATGGCTTATTTAACCTCGGGTCCTTCTCTCAGGTACACATCTTATACAAAAAGTGGTCAGCATAATTTAACCCCAGAGTCATGCTCTAAGTTTTTTTGTGCATTGTGATAAACCTGCAATTGGAATTGATTTAGATTGCTCCAGTGCGATGTGGTGCCTTCCAGGTAGCTGTAAAAAGCTTCAATGAATCAATGGTGTATTGAGGCGCAACAAAAGCCCCAGATTCTGTCTGCCCAAGGGGCTAGTCATGATCACTACCAATCCACACACGCCAATGGGAATTGACATATCCAGGAGAATTAATAGCTTTACTTTTTCCTTCCACCATTGATCCTAACCCAAGGCAGAAAGCAAGAGTAGTCCGAGTGTTCCCTCATTTCCCTGTAGGTCAGAGCTGTCAGCTCTCCTCCCTCATGGTCAGAGATCTGCAAGGTCCCGCTAATGCTATTTCATTCAGACTGATTTACACTTGGTTTGATAGGATTTATCACAGCGTTCTCCCTCAGCACAACGCACACAGGGCTGTAGTCCTATTGCTCTGCTCTGTAATTTATTAGAATCATTGACTGGGCATGTCTCACCCCCAGTGCCTGATGCACACTCCCCCCTCCTTTGACAGAGTGAGCAGATGAGCGTGGAGGAGGTCACATGGACTGGACAGAAGGTGTCTCGGAGCCCTGCACTGTAATGGCTGCGCTCTCGGTCCTCAGCATGCGCCAACTGTCTCAGTACCCAGCTGCGGTAGATGAGCTAATTTATAAGCCTGTGTGGCCAGTTTGCTCAGCAAATGAATAGTAATGATCCCTGTGTGACTGCTGCAGGCTGCTGGAAGTTGGTGTGTGTATGTGTGTGAGTGCTCGAAGTTGAGCTGGTGGTTAAGAGCTTCAGCTCAGTAGGAGGTGTCTCACACTCACTAGACAAAAACGCCCAAATTGCTTTGTTTCAAAATTTTAATATCCAGGTGCACACAGATGGGCAGGACCCTGCAGCCTTCATGTACAGCCTCCCTATGTGCGGCAATGATTAGCCAACATTTAATTTGGCTGTTTTTGCCTTTCCACTGTGACTGATGATGGTCTGAACCGAACGCTACGAAGCACCGTTAGTGGCCATGCAGAAGATGCAAGAGGTAACGGTCCAGCTTACAGATGGCACTGTGTGTAAAGCCATTAGTGCCAATCTGCTGTGTCAAGCAGGTATTTATGCCAGCACATTGTATGGCACTCAAGGAGGGAACAACGCCAAGCGAGACACACATGCCCATATGATATTGCTGACACTTGGAACACACCCAGAACGCTATTGTTACTGTGTGTTTGTGTGTGTGCTGGGCTAGAGATGCGTATGATTAGTACCCTACTGTATTAGACGGTGACGGCACACATGAATAATGCTCTTATAGATCTTAATACGCTTATGAATTTTTAATCTCCTGCTCTGCTCCAGCGTAGGCCGGCACTATAGGTAGAGAGATCAATGCGGACACACGGCCTTGTTTTTTTTCCCTATTTGGGACCTGATTGTGCTTTAATGTAGAGAGCTGTGATGGAGAGCGTGAAGAAAATGACTGAACAGGCCAGAACAGCTACACCTGCCAGATCCAACACCAAATTCTGGCTCAATCAGCTGCAAATACTGTTGCCTGTGACTCACAACACGTGTCCCTTCTTCAGCCAGCTATGCTGTACTCGCGCATGCACTCAGACAAACAAACCATGTACATCTGAAGGTGTGATTCTGTACTTAATTGTGGGCTCACTTCAAAAAATCCACCCTCTAACACTGATTCATGCTGTTTTTTGTGTGATCTCGGACAGTTCGGTCTGGATAAAGCTCTACTAAAGCTGGAAACAAGAGCCAGGGCTCTAATCTGTGATGTCAATGGAAGACAAAGGCTCTGCAGCTAAACTGATAATGAATTAGGGGCCAACTTTGTGGACACACTGTGACAGCACCCAGTGTAATTTTGCACGGCTATTTATAAGCACTTTCTGTGATTTCAAATTGTTAGAAAGCAGAAAAAAAACCCCAGCTCATTGGGTATTAAATCAAAAGAAGCAAGCAGTGAGTCACCAGCTGTCCATTCGCTGTTGTTAGAGTGGCCCTTGAAATGTCTTAATGCCGTCAAGGATCCGAGGTTTTGTTTACTGTGGTATCTTGTTTTTGGAGAGTTGTTCAGGTTCACAAGAGTTGCCAAAAAGGGCATGAAACATTCTGAGTAGTGAATTGTCTGGCTCAGTTTTCTGCTCTCTATTTCTCTCTTACACACACACTCACACACAAACACACACATGCACGTATTCACAGACACACGCACACACACAGTCTCCGAGATGATGCTGTGTTACTATATTTTCTCACGCTGGGGTGTCTCTGCCCCATGATAATTGTGAATTTAATTGATGCTGTCACATGGTCTGTAATGGGGTTTCAAGTGATTGCAGAGGCAGTGTGAAAGAAACACAGATTTTTCTTGAGGAGAAAAGGCGCCTCAGCAGAGCTGGGATTAAGAAAAAAACACCACTTTCTGATTAGCTTTTCTTCCATCCTCACTCTCCTCTTGAAATGCAAACTCCCTATCACCTCATGTGCGGAGAAAACGTGACATATAGTAGTTTCTTCCTCTGTGAGGAAATTCCAACGTCTCCATTTCGCCCCGTTTCACCTTTATAACAACTGAAGTGTATGAGGTATAGCAGGCAAGTCGATGAACATGCATATGTAATTCACCAGTGCAACAGGAAATGGACCTAGGCTATCATCATCATTAGCATATCATTAACATCAGCATGAACATACATAATTCATAGTTAGTGAAATATGCCTGTATTACACAATTAACATTATTGTCTTTGCCACACATGACACTCACATTATAGCACAGCGTGAATATAAAACATGCAGACATCAATGCGAATCAGTAATTAAATACTTTCAGATTGTGACCCACCAAACGATCCCAACCAATTCCCTGAGTAGCGTATACTTAGTTTTCATATTATGTTGAATCATTCATTAACATTCACTGCTGAAAATTGCTCTGCAAAATGCAGTTAAAGGATTCATCCAGCCTGAGGGCATCTAAAGATTTATAAATAACACGGTTATTGACCGTTCTGTTATTGATAACTCCTGTGCCTCTGTGCAGCGCCTCTGGGTGCAACATGCGCACACATGATATTGCGAAAGCGCTCGTGGGAAGTCGGCGTGTGATGCAAGGACGAGGAGGAGGCTGTCACAGGAAGTTAAGTGCTGGTGATTGAGACTGTGTACATGTGCATGCACACTCTTTTTCTTTGATGCTCACTTTAGCAAAGCCCTTTCGTCATTTGCTACAAGCCAGTGGTATAAAAGTAACTAAGTACATTTACTCTAGTAAAATTTTGAGGTAAGAATTTCTATCTTATGCTGCTTTTTACTACATTTCAAATGGATGTATGGTACCCTTTATTTTACATTTATTTCTGAGCTTTAGTTACTAGTTTTGCCTATTCAATATTAAAATGCTGCTTACATGTGGATACATCTTTAATGATAATACTATATATATGGCCCTATCCAGGGCCAGTAATTGGTTTGTCCCTTCTGGGCTACTGTAGAAACATGGTGGTTCAACATGGTGCAGTACATGGAAGGCGACCTGCAGTGTCTGTAGATATAAATGGCTCATTATAAGGTGACAAAAAAAATATGATTTTTATTGTCACTGATTGAGTGTCTGATTATACACTAATGAAAACA